ACGCTTATACTCTGCAATAGGATTTCCTCTAATTTCCATTTAAATTGAATTCTCTCGCCAAATAATTGGCCTAAAAAGAATTTTACTCGCATACCAATTACACTTCGCACCCCAATCCTTTGTGATCACAGATTATACTTTGAAATTAAAGTCATATTGAGTCTATGTGCCCATATTACAGGATAACAATAAATATCATACTATTTTTAACTATCGATTTTACGGTAACACGGTGACCCTATGTTAAGTTCCATATCAGTTACATATGAATGGTTCTGCAACAAGTGTCAAAACTTTCAAAAGTTTATCCACGTATAAGATTATTTTAATGGTTGATTTTGCTATATTCCAATTGGAGGCGTTTTTCTCTCAATATACTTTAAGCAGTTAGCACCGATTTTTATTATCTCCTGCGTTAAGCCCCATATAACTAACGGATGAACGGGCGAACTAGGGGATGCATCCGGTTTGCGCACTTTCCGTTAACCGATTCCAGTAAAACTTAGCAAATAGATGTAATTCCACAAACTTTTGAGGTCGGTTGTTTTGGTACTGTATATTATGATTACTCTGTACTGAGATTACGTTTAGTCTAAATTGTATAAAAAAGTTTGGAATCTCTACCCTCACAGATAAAAAGTAATAATCTAAACAAAAAAGTCGTACTTTCTACCCTGTTTCAATATTGACAAGATCCAAAATTTAGGGCTCGTTTTTAGTAAAAGGTTAGTACTTGTGTTCTGATTTACGATTCAACCCCGATCGTAACCCGTGACTGGACAGATGGTTATGCCATTGTGGTCAATCTACCACGCTAGCAGTTTCAAGGCCTTATATGGATCGATACTTGGAGATGGTTTGTTGGTAGGTCAATGGAGATGATACATCTTTTGTCTAAAGGCATGCTATGATGGCCGATTGACATTTGTCCGCTCATCAAGTTTCGTGTTAATTCTAAATAACTACGTTGAAGGAGTTACTTGATGTACATTGTTGTCAATAGATATGTGCAGTAAAATTTACAACTCGGCATTTGTTTTTCGAAATTTTTAAAAATGAAATCTAATACGATGAACTTCTACCTCCGGCAAACTCGCGTCAAAGCTCAATGCAAAACAAAGCAGTTTCGAATTGACGATATATTAAGTAAACATTTTTATTTTCGTTTTATTAAAACTTTTTAATCAACTCCCCTTCCAATACTAGTAATAAATCTAACAACTTATAGATGCGACTCGCATTTGATTATACTTTTCTCGATAATTAATTGAGATTTGACCGCACTTTTGTAATCTGTCAAAACGGCCATCATATCATAACGCGCCGGTATTGTAATTACATTACTAAACACTTTTATTGCAAAATACAAAAATATAGGTACAAAGATGTGTCTAGCCCCCAAACTAGGTTCCCCTGTACTTTGTAGCTAGGACTTACGTCCGTCAAGAGTATTGCATCTAACTTAACTAATTTACTTATATTTTTACTTACATTTACTTTACTTATTTACAGGATAAGATGCTCTAATATTAAAAACAAGGTCACAAAAGCTAGGAGGGCAGATATTCACACCAGCGCGTGATCGCCATTCACTAATTAATCACCAGCACAAAAGAAATACGTTTCTATTTACTACGGCAATTGGTAGTGTAATCTGTGTTTAAACAGTAATATGAACGACTGCGACAGCGGCATCACAAAAAAGCTTACGTGGTCAATTCCTTCGTCGACTTTTCTGTCCATCAACAAAGTAATATTACAGAACTGAATCTCTTAAGTATAATACAAATATATTGAAGGTGTGTGTGTGTGTGAGCGTGTGCATGTGCGCGCGCGTGCCTGTAGTGTGAATTAGTGTAAGTGCGCTGTGTGTGTTGTATGTTAAAACCCAGAGTACGATGATTAGAATATATTGTGTATCAAGTTATTTATGTAAATATAATGTATAAAGTATTTCCGTACCTGAGAAGCATTACACTGGAAGTGCTATTTTTGTAATTTTACAAGTGACGCGATTTTGTGTCGAAATGCAGCATGTACAACATTTAGGATGGCTTGAAATAAAACTACTTGAGTTTTAATAACATTTCGAGCTACCCTAATTGGCGTACAAACCGTTTTTCGACACAAAATCGCTTCCCCGTAAAAATTCGAAAATGGTGCTTACAGTGCAATGCTTCTCAGGTTCGAATTTACTTTATAACTTAAGTAATAATCTTCATTAGAGCCTTAGTCTCTTCGTAATTTAACATGTGCAGCAATGGAACTACAGACCTTTACAGTCATGTACGCTCATGTGACAGATGTTCAAGGTTTTCTTTATACAGTTAAACATATATGGGCGCGTTCAAATAAACCGCTGTTAGACGCGCTGCAGCAGCGTCACTTTTCATACAATTTCTAGAATTCGCGCGGCGGCCGCGCGACTGCAGTCACGGTTAGTGAGGTGTACACATTGACTTACAATTACATGGACGTCAGGTCCGCGCTAAAAAGTGTCCGAACTTATAGGGCGTTAAAATCGTATACAGAGCGTCATTCACGCTTTAGTCTTCGTTTGTTCGACTGACAGCGAAGCAAGCAAAATTAGACAGTACTGCGATGACATTACAATTTAAATTCAACGTTTTAGCTTTTTCATATTCCTTTACATTTTTTGACTTTACATTTTGTTGACTTGGGACATTTTTTTCGTGGTTTTTCTATTAGACCCGTCGTCTATTTATTCAATGAGTGTACATGTTAATTTTTCAAATTAACCACGATGGATGAAAATCGAATTGAAGAATTTACAGAGAATGTAAAACAACACCCTGCAATATGGGATAGCAGTTCCGCCAGTTATTCCAATCGACTGGATAAAAAAGGCATGGGAAATTTTATGTCTAAAATTTGTTGATGTTAAAATTGGAAACTGAAACTACAACTGAAAAAACATAGCAGGCGAGTCATTTACCTATTTACCAATTAAAATACCGATGTGTGAAGTTTGTGCCCCAAGAACTAGGTAAAAGCAATGTTTCTTCGTCATAATCCATCGCGTAACTGAGTCGAAAGATACGACAGTCACGCGGCCGCCGCGCAGCTGCAGCGCTTCTAACAGCGGCTAATTTGATAGCGCCGTAAATGAGTTGATTGCTTTTTAAATTGACGACTGGCAAACGTAGATTTTACAATATGCCGCACAACATGGTATCGTATTCTTCTATTCACGTTGTTTGGCGTCGTATGGAAGATGTTTATGTACTTTTACAATAGTTTGTTCTACGTACAGTTTTCTGACAGAATGAAGTTTGCCTTATTCGAGTATAGTTTTTATTTTATTATTTGTTAGTATTAATTTTATATATCAAAAATTATTACATATAGAAATAGTGTGAAATCTAACAAATGCTGAATATTTTCTGTTTTTTTTTTGGAAGACGGAGGAAATCCTCATGGAGGCCCAGAATTGGCGGCGGCGTAACCGGTTTCACTGCGATACGTACCCAGCGGCCTACATACGAAAACCGACACAAGTCCGTACCTTTTTAAAAAAAAATGCTTTAATAATAATAAATTGATTGAATATTGAATATTGAATATCGCGAAGTTTTACTACCATGACATTACATGATATATAGGCAAAAAGTCGTTAAAAATAAATAACAACAAGCACATAGAAAAATTTGTAAGTTCTGCTGGTCCGTTCTGTAGCTTGGTTGGAAGAGCGTCACGTCAGGCAGACCGAAGGAATTTTTCTTAATATTCGATTTTAATAATTCTAACATAGATTGTATTACCTACTCGTCTAAAGACTTTTGAATATTTCCGCGCTTATTTTGTTGCTAACTTGTGTTACTCCAAAGTCAATGTGAAATAATCTTTATTTAACAGGTAAGCAAATTATACTTGATATTGTCTTACTGATTAAACTCTACTGCTCATTCGTAAGGAATATTCCCATGAGGAGAATGATCAAGAAGGTCAAGGGGTTGCTCTTTGCAAATAAACATTTGAATAAATTTATCATTACAATATTTAATTTAAACATCTTAGAACTTAGATACCTGAAAGAGCTAAACAGTCACTACCACGGATTTTTGTTATCCAAGTACACAATAGATGTATTGTTAACCTTTAGTACAAAGTTTTTGTTTCACTATAGTTTTAAACCTCGTAAATGGCAATTTTTGAATATGAATCGGAATCTTATAATAGAAGCGTATATATTGCCCCTTAAATGAATTTGAGATTCCACTTAAGTTAGCAGGTTATTTTTCTTTTTTTTTCTATGACATCAAGTAAAATTTTTATTTTCTATTTTCTATAAATTTTTCTATAAATTTATTTTTTATTTTCTATAAATTCATTTACAGAGTATAAGGGATTATTCAAGAACAGGTCTTTCAGCCGGCGCCTAAATTTTTCGTCAGATGGTTCAAGTCTGAGAGTAGCGGGTAAACGCTCATAGTAAGTAGGTCCGATGACAGGTTTGTCTCTGCAAGTGCCATGCGCCGCGTCGGGAGACAGTTCTCAATATACTAACTGATCTCAGTAAACTAATACTATTACATTCTTATGTGTATCTATTTATTTTTAACTATACATGAGATTTAGCAATAAATCTGTCTGTTGTCAAAAATTAGTATGTACGTTCCAGGTTTATACACATGAAAAAATTTCAACAGACTCAACTGTTTGCATTACCCAAGTTACGGAACGTGTCCGTTCAGTTCAGATAGAGCTTAAAGCTCTTGTATCACTTTTATCTCTTCAGTTTTGAATTGTTTATGAGCTAAATGTTTACTTTAGCGCCAAGTGTCCGTTATCATTCGTTGTGAGCCTATTTTAATGAATAATGACATGTAATACTTTAGTGAATCCTTAAGCCGAAAACCTTTATACTATAATTACCGCAAAGCCGCTTACAGGCATTTCAGCGTTGTGTGGAAAGCTTTCGTGTACAGTAGGCGGCTCGGTACTACCGCCGCACCGCCGCAACGTGCCGCACCAGTGCCTGACGAACCGCCAGATGGGGCGCACGTATTTTGCCCCACATTATTCGAAACTTCGAAACTTTACCCCCATACTAAAAACTACACTAACCACATAATCCTAAAATTCTATAATATATTTAATACCGCACTGACTTTCTGTGTTCATTTTTAATATTTCCAAATAAATTGAATTTATACAATCAACTTTATGAACTATGCATAAGATAACTATAAATTGTAGACATTTATGTTAATTTGATCGTCACAAATTTGTATGAGAGAATTTGAATCTGGTGTCACCTGGAAGACTTCTTTTACTACGCACCCCAGAGGAGTCAGCCCAACTTTAAGTACCAAGGTAAGTAGCAATAACCGAGAAGCTTCATTAAAGTTAAACTTTCAATTAATTTTACACGCGTAAAAACTTCACTGTACAAATTTAGACCTTTTTATATTAATACCAAGTGACGGAACGAACAAATCATGCGCCAAGTCTTAAGCGATAACTCATAACGGTTGCAGTGTCACTCATATCTTTGCCATTGTCAATGCACCAGTCGCTCTCTGATATAAAGTTAGCAAGGCTACTGCTTCGCGGCAGAAATAGATAAGGTGGTAGTACTTCCCTGGACGAACTCCATCAGATAGAAGTTTACTGCTACTAATATTACAATTTTATATTTGAATAAAACAATATAATGTCACATTTATTGCCTCCTGTCCTTATAATATTTCGTTGCACATTTTATTGGACGTTTTGTATAAGTAATAATCCCATACGTAACACGCACCGATGGGCTGTACACGAATGGTTTAAATCCCATACTTATATTATTATATAATTTAGTCAATTGTTCTGATTAAATATGTATTACCAAGACCCTGCATTAGCCATGTTTTCATAATGTACGTAAGCGAACTAAACATCTTGTCCTATATAATAATATAATTATACATTTGTGAATTTATTTGACGCAACCCTAGGGTTTATAAATATAGCTAATATAAATAAACGCTTTATTTTACCAGGCTGCAGTATAAAATAGATGTTAAGAGATTGACTTCATATGGGTGATATTTTAAATGTTTCGATGGTTGAAAGGAAGTACCGGCGTCGGCAAATGCGAATGTGCTGAAGCGAATTTCAATGCATACGCGAACGTACCTTATTTCATTTTCACTTTTGACCTCCCTTTTTGAATTTTATTTCCAAGAGGAAGAGGACTACTGTTACCCCGTTGCAATGAAGTTTTCGTATGGGTTACGAAGTGAATTCAACGTACACTTTTATGTTTCTCTTCTTGAAATCGTAAATTTTTGACCTTGTTATTAGGGTTTTGAATCAAAGATCTTTAGGAATTTTTCTACAACACTATATAGCAAGTCCTACGAGAAGCACAGTTCTGCGAGAATTTAATGGGACGATTCCTCGTCAATACGAGCAGCCATCATAATTTCTACGAAAAAGACTATAGCTAGTCGACATTTTTGTGGTAGATATTTTTTTTAATTTAAAATTGATCCATATTAGAAAGGAGAATAATTTGAATGACTAAAATTTTTGTATATAACATAATCTCAGTACAGAGTACTAAAAACCGACCTCAAAAATCATTCAACCCCTAAGTTGCCACCCTTGGAAGTGGAATATTTTCTTCAAATTTAAATGAGACCACTGACACTGAGGAGTTTACAAATGCTGGAGTTATAGCATAACCTACAAACCAAAAAAAAGATACAGATGAATTGAGAACCTTCTCCTTTTTTTAAGTCGGTTGAAAAGATAGGCAGAATACTTTGGTTAATACAAATGACACCACTGAAAACTTTGAACTAAATAAACAAGAGAACTGAAAATGACGCATGGAAAATTTTTTATGAAAACAACATCATAATAAAACAAAAATAATAACGCAAATAATTTACAAAAACAAGACAAAAAATGTGGAGTACCTTGTGTGATGCCAGCTGCGGTAACAGGAGGGTCAAAAACTCAACTATTGGTAGAAAACGCTTTGTGCGTTCTCAGCGCTGATTTTCCGTTAGAACTCATTATCGGTATGACGTTGTACTTTAGCGTCATTAAAAATATTAAGTGAAATGTAGTCCCGGACACATAATTCGAGCGTCCTCGCATTTCTGTCGTAAAGAGCCAGAATGCAAAAACAGCGTTATCATCGAAGAAAAAGTTTTCTCCGGTTTTGCAAATCCAAATTCCCAACAAGGACATAAAGAAAAGACACTTGGTATACTAGTTTCAGAATCGCATAATAATTTCTAATCAATCAAACATTGTTTAAGCTTAGGGCACTGAAAACTGAAAATGCGTATTGGCTCGAATTATACGTCCGGAAGTGTATATTCTATATTAAAAGGGACTATGGAATTGGAGAACAACCTTGCAGTAATAAACGCGTGCAATACTTTTGAATAATTAGGATTTTCCCTATCATCGTGCTTAAACATCTAATTACTCTCTCACCATTTCGCGTGTCGAAAATCGTAAATCAGATAAGAAAGAATGTTATAATTTGTTTAATATCAGCTTTCAATCAATCGATTAACATTTCCAATTCTGGTTCGGATGCCAACTCATTGTTTATTGACTGCTGATCGCCGCAGTACTTCCGAACAGGCGCCCCCTAACATGATTAATTCATTGACGTTTTACAAACTTAAACATTTGTTTACTGTCATGTTAATGTTATTTTGCGTAACTAATTATCCACCGTTATATATATAAACATCTATGTACATTGACTGTATGAACATTAATAATTTCTTACTACCATGATATGCATTTATTTTTTGTGATATTACTCCACTAGTTTGCATAATCCTTAATGCAAAGATCGAACATAAAGAAAAATTATGTCGATCTGACAGGACTCGAACCTGCGTTTGTGCCACATCAGGGCAACTGAGCTACAGATAGAATCGGCAGACCTTGTGAATTTTTGTATGCGTTTGATATATAGATCATTGAGCAGTTACACAAGGCGACTTTTAGCAACGATGCAAACGCTATGCAGTCGCTTATTATCTACCTTTCCACAGTCGCACGATTTTAAGCAGCGATGCAAACGCGATGTAAGCGCGCGACTGCATATCGATGCAGTTTGTATCGACAAATGCACGATTGCATCGCTACACTTGAGATTTATAGGCAATTGCATCGATGCAAGCGCCCGTTTGTATCGATGCAATCGCGCGTTTGTTCGATGCAATCGCCCGTTTGTATCGATGTAATCGCGCGTTTGTATTGATGCAGTCGCGCCTTTGCATCGCTGCATAAAAGTCACCGTGTGTAACCACTCTTTGTTTTTAATTTTAACGGATTTATTGTCTGAATCTGTGAGAAAAATGACAGCTAAGACAAGAGATGTCGCTTTATAAATTGTAATGTTGTTTGTAATGATATTATGGTGTTTTACTACCATGACTTTTTTACCTGAAATGAGAAATGTATTTGCTAAAACGTAGTACCATACCTAAAACTTAGTAGTACAAGTTCGCCTCGTAAGACTGCAGTGGCTTGTAGGCTAACAGATAGTTCCACGAAGAATAAACTCAGCCACTCAAACAATGCCCCAGGGCGCGATCGAAAACATTTTCTACCTTTAAATTTTTTGTCTTTTCATAAAAGGTAAGTATTATCTTACTTACTCACTTCTGTGGCGCATTGATACAAAGAGGGTCTTGGTCTCCGACATCCGAAACTGCCACGCCACTCGGTTCTGAGCCTGATTCTTGCAGTACCGAGATTTTTCAGGTGTTGCTGGACTTCATTGCTCCAACGCCACCAGAGACGTCCGACTGGCCGGCGTCCACTCGGTGGACCCAAGAACGCCCTTTTCGCGGAATGATCCTTTACCATACTCATGTCCAAGCCAACGCAGCCTCGCAGATCGAATTTCTCCTACAATATTGAGCCAGGACATCAAATCTTCAGTTTCAAGGTTGTTTCTTGCCCTCCAGCTTTCATCTTCCCTTTGACTCGTTCACAGATTTTATTTCAATAATAAAAATGGGTAAAACATTTAACTGCCTCCGAACCCGCACGGTTATCATGCTGGTTTGCCACACAGAGGTTCCGGGTTCGATTCCTAAGCCTAGAAAAATATTTAGCCTACATTTATTTCTTTAGTGAGTTTGTCCATGGCATCCGGGATACAGGGTTTCCCTAGTGCGTTATTATTAATATTTAATCTAATTACAACACAGATTTCATCATGTTATAATATTAGTCGTACCATCTGTAACAATATAAGATATTTAAGTCGCTTGTTGGTTTGCAGCTAGTATTTATGTGGTCTGTGGGTTGCAGCAATCACCGCAATTCGCAGTAGGCCTTGCACATTGGCCTGCTCACGTGAAAGTACCACAACAACATTCATGAATTTTGTTTATCATAATAAGTGATGGAGTAACAAGTCGTGCGCCTGATGGTAACTAATTCCTGTCCATAACAGTTGTAGTGCCACTCAGAGCTTTAAATCGCAAAGATCTGAGGGGCATAGCCACTGCGCCCGTCACCCTGAGATATAGGTGTCAACCTATGTCCCTTGTGCCTGTAATTTCACCAGCAGTCTTCAAAGCCGGAATGCATTAATGCTGACATTACAGCTTAGCGGCAGAGCTATATATATTAAAACATACTACTGCCACAACACGTGTTACCGATCAACATAAATAGCAAACAATTGATTTAATTATTTTTTTTGAGACCGCTTAACAAAAACTTTTATTCCCGGTATCGTCTATTTTATCAGACAGATTTTATTAAGAGTTGTTACATTCGTCAAGGAAACCTATCAACCTTGTTACGGACTAATTAGTACGCGGTCCTACAGAAGGTGTTTTGTGGTCTTCCTCGCAACACGGACGGGTTATTAAGTTTTTTGGGCATCGAATGTTTATACTTTAAAGACTTTTGCTGAAAAATTGCTGCAATTTCCATTAAGGAACATTTTCATTTGTATAATAATCCTTGCAGACACATAATTAAAAAAAAATTCATTCATTACTAACCTAGTATAATTAGACTAGTGTGGTAACTCCGTACACACGTAGCATAGCTGTTTGTATGTGGGAACGCCCGCCGCTCGCCATGTACGAACGCACACATTCGCATAACAATGAAAGGCGCATGGAACAACTAGCGCTATGCATCGCGAGCGTACCGCGAGATGATGCCAATGTGTACGTTCGTACACGACTCGCGACTGGCGCGCACATTACAAGCCTCGCCGCTGCGATCGCCCCAAATGGAGACGTTTTATAAGAAACAAAACGTCACATTATGAAACCCGTCGACGATTCGAATTAGACGTCGGACGAACAGAAAGCCTGACCACCACTGGCGTTCGGCGATCATTACAAGCATGGTGTGCTCACATGCCTCCTGTCATTGGCTACGTGAGTCACGTGAGAGAGCACGAGCGCCACCAATAACCTAGTTGAAGCAGTTGCGGTAGCCCAAAACGGTCAGGAGAATTTATTTGGTGTCTAAGCTATATTTTACCACTTACTACAAGGTAGAAATTAAAATACAAATTCGACTCTATGATGCTTACAATCAGAATGGTGCAAAGGTCTTTACGGTTGAAACCTTAGAGCACACAATGCAATTAAATGTTAAGTACTAATCACTAGGGGACGATTCTCATATCGTCGTGCTGCAATATTGTCTCGCTTCAACACTCCTGTTCATAACAGTTGCAGTGCCACTCAGAGCTTTATACTGCATAGATCTCAGGGACACGGATACTGCGCCCGTCACCCTGAAACGTAATTTGGCAAGTCCCATGTAAGCATTACTGCATTCCCAACCGGAATGCAGTAATGCTTACATTACTGCTCGGTGGCAGAAATAGGTAAGGTGGCAGTACTTCCCTGGACGAGCATTAAGAAGGAATTCTACTGCTACTCAAATGTCATATCAACAATGTTACAGATACCTATATCATTAATATTACTAAGATGCAAAGAAGTCTAAATCACCAATGGCTAAGCAGAATATTCTAAATTCTTTATTAGTTTGCGTTTATCAATATCACTAAAAACATAATCGAAAAAGAATTGTTTGCAATAAATTAAAAAAATTATCAAGTCTATTTTGATTTCTTCTTTGTTTTTGTCAGAAGTAAAATTTGTATCGACACTTACAGATATGGATTCTGTCTCGCTTATATGACTTTACGTTCGACTTTCCCGCCCTTATCGTCGCCGATCACTAGTTATAACTTTTAAAGCGCTGATGATAGACTTATTTCTATTGTGAGATTCTCAGACTATCGCAATGAATTTGCTTTCGATATCCTGCACATTTCTCCGATTATTCTTTCTGTAACCATTGTCTCTCCCGCGCCAGAATTGGCACCCGCAACTATCCAACAACATCCACCGCGAATATATAATTACACGTTCACTATCGAGAGTGTCAATTTGCGATACGCAATTTGTTATATTGATAAAATTATTATCTGTTAATTAAAGCTTCAATATCCGTGTTTGTTTTCGTCTCATACGCCAGAGATATTTCTTTTCATTACTGTAAGCTTTGTAGTAGCCGTAAAGATCCCTGTGGAAGAGTTCATCCAGGAAAGTACTGCCACCTTACCTATTTCTTCCGCCGAACAGCAATGTGTGCATTACTATGTTCCGGTTTTCAAGGGTAAGGGTGCTGGTGAAATTACAGGCACGTGGGACTAGGCAACTTATGTCTCAGGGTGACAGGCGCAGTGGCAATGCCTCTCAGATCTTTGCAATTTAAAGCTCTGAGTTACACTGCAACGGAACTGCGTGTCGCTTACCACCAGGCGCACGACTTGTTTGTCTCGACACTTAATATCATAAAAAAACCTAGTAGTACCTCTATATTGTTGCGGCTAACTAAGCTGTCCGAAGTTCAGGTTCAGGTTCAGCCTGTTCAGCTGTGGGTATATGTAACAGTATACTGGTCAACCTTACATCTGAAGTAACAAAGTTGTGTAACATGAAGATATTTATGTAATGTGTGTGATTTGTTAATAATTACTTACTGTATTATCTTCCTATGGAGGTAACATTTCCTCCTAAAAATAAAAGACTACCACACACGTGAGCGCCGTGCTCGGGATGTGGACGGGGCGTGCTAGTTTGTATGAACTGTGGGTCCGTTCTGGCGCCGGCCCGGAGACGGATATGTGTGAACGAGTACATTCAAAATATAGGCAACGATATTTTTTTACCCCCGACAGAGCACGGCCCGTCCACGTCCCAGGCACGGCCCGGATATGTGTGGATAGACCTTAAACCCTCTAACAAATACAGAAAAAAAGACACGGAAAAAGCAATTATCGAAACACACGGTTTTGTAAAATACGCATAGTGACATTTACGAGTACATTGAAACCTAATAAGACAGTCTGACTTAATACTAAAGCGCATACTTCTCGATAATAAAGTGTTATACGATCGATTACAGAATTAAAGTTCTAAGATAAAAACTAAGCCGAGCTGCGCCTGTGAGACCCTACACTGAGCTTCAAAGTAAATCACTCGTAATAAAATGTGGTACTTTCCTCAAAGTATACATAGAAAAAACCGTGTTCGAGTAGCACGCTCGCTGAAGAACACGAGAATAATTGAGGCTATCAATATTACGTATAGCGGATATATATAAAATAAATTAATAACTAAATACTTTTTATACATGATAATCTCAGTACACAATACTAAAAAAACCGAACTCAAAAAAAGTACGTGGAAATACATATAATTACCAAGTTTTATTTAAATCGGTTACCGGAAAGTGCGCAAAACTTGATTCATCCCCAAGTTTGCCACTTTATGGGACTTGCACAGGAGATAATAAAAATCGGTTCTCACTACTCAAAGTATATTGAGAAAAATACGCCTAGAATTTGAGAATAGCAAAATCAATCATTAAAATAATTTATCCTTTTAATAAAATTTAGGCGCTATTTAAAAAAATGAATCTTCATACATGAACAGACACCCTTAGAGGTGGATGATTTTCTTCAAAATTAAATGGGACCACTATGGAGGTACCTTCTTTCCAACAAAAAAGAATCATGAAAATCAGTTCACAAATACCGGAGTTAGCGCGTAACATACATACAAAAAAACATACAGTCGAATTAAGAACCTTCTCCTTTTTTTTAAAGTCGGTTAAAAATAGCATCCAAATATCTAATAATTACGTGCTTTAGTATCATTTAGACTAATATTGCAAAAAAAAATTAAACGTGGTTTACACCACTTTTGCGCTGATAGCTCCAATTAAGATATTTGAAATCACTACAAGTATCTCGCCATTTATTTTCGAAAATTATGGCAACATTTTCGAGTACAAGTGACAATCTTAATAGCATATTAATTACGTATTACGAACGTAGCGGCTGGTAACTTAGAACATAAATTTCGATCTCGGCAGGATCGCATAATAACCTATAAGTTCTTTTGACAATGCCAACTTTGATATAAAAGAAATCATTAAAGTGGCGAACATTCTCGAATGGAAAAATATCTTTTCAATACCTAATGTTTACCAACGTCTCCATGTTAGATATAGTTATGTATCATGGAGATATTTATACATCAATCCCATTTTGTACGATGTATAGATACGTTGCTGATTGAGGTTGTATCCGTTCCCGCCCTTTTGAAGCTAGGGAGTCGGGACTCAATGGTTTAGGTAGTTAGTTATATTTGTTTCAAAAAGCCTATGTCGACTTTTGCTGAACAGCAATGACCTTGAGCCAATTCACTTGTCAAATAATGGAATAAATGTGGTAAAATCGATGCCGGCGGCAGGGTGCGTGCGCTCGATACCGGAAAACGCGATCACGACTAGTGACCTACTAAGTCAAAACGCACGGCCACACGTTCAAACAACGGCAACGTGTGGTATAAAAAGACGTTTTAAAATAAAATAGGGCACACTTTGGTTGTAGTATATCACATAAAGTTATTTATTAGTTTCTTTAGTCTCGAAAAAGTTGCCGTTTTGCCGATGTCATCTTATGATGACCTTATGAGGGTTTTATAACCCTTTGTATTTTGACTTTTGCTGTTATGTAATAATCGTAGTTGAAGTTAGAAGTTAGACACACTTGAATAGCTCGAGGTGGCCGTATTTTTTATTATTTTTAATATAGACTTTTTTAAATAGAAGGTATAGAATGAAATTTACTTGCGGTTTTGCAGCAACCTTAATAACCTAAGATTTAGGTTGGATTTTGAACACCCTGAATCAGCTTTTGATGGAGTGTATTTAATTATATTATAACAACATACATGACAGCGGTTAATTTGAGATAGAAACATTATATACCCAAAATGTAGAGACAATGGTATAAACATAATAGTGTAGTGTTGCGTCGACACAAAAGGGGAATCATGTGTTTTATGGATATAAAAGAAATTATTCAGTTGCTTCGGTAAAAGTTAAACTTATCTTCCCATACATCATACCCTCTTCACAGCAGTCTCTTTTAACAAATATGTTAAGGTCATTTTTCGTGGTGGACAGCTGGCTCAAAGTGGGTTGAAGATTTCATATGGCTTTGAAATATCTTTTTTATGTATATGGGACAGAAAATACTGTAAATCTTCGGATAGTTTTCAATAAAGTACACATGTACAAAATTGGTTCTTTACTCGATCAACTTTGCATGGTGAACAAACCACTAGCGGATCGATCAACTTTACTGGCGTCATAGTTTATATTGTCTATAAAAAGCTACTTTTACAATAAATTTTTCTACCTTTAAAGGCACGTGAATCTGTCACATGATATAGAGAGAAAACTCGCGTATTTTAAACGCAAGAATGTTGCGTTGTTTTCCGGAAAACTTTCTTTATTATTTTTAAATACCAGCGAACAGAACTGTAGTGTTAAAATCACTGTAGGACAAAATATCTTATGAAGCCACATTTCACTTCATAGTTCTACAATATCAGTGAAACTCTCCTCAAAATATTCCGGTGGAAAAGAACAGCAGCGTTTTAGAAGACAATTAACAATACATATTTTAACTAAAAATTAACAGCACAGTAAGTATTTAATCATCCAATTAAGGTCTCATAGCCGACCCATTTATACGTCCAACTGCTGGGCATGGGTTTCCTCTCAGGCGAGGGTTTTTAAGCCACAGCCCGCCACCCTGGCCCAATGCGGGTTGGGGACCTCACATGTTTTCCGATCACGATATAATAATAATACATTTATTTCAGAAGTGCATCCATATTTGTTAACAATAATCTTTTCAACTATGTTAGTAACATCACATGATTTATAAAAATATAAATATTACAATTTCTCACTTCTCATCCTAGCCTGTATCCGGTGGATGAATATCGAGTTGTCATTTGTATCAGCCACCGCGGTCACAAGGAAATTTTCGCTGCCGCCCTCGCGCATCATCAGAGATGCGACTCGCTTGCGCATGACGGCATGAAAGTCGTCCGTGCGCGCCTCCGCAAACATCCGCGACGCACTCCAGTGCCGCGGCAGCCCTATCAGCATCCTGAACGCATCGTTATAAACGACATGCATCGCATTACAAGCTCTCTTAGTACAGCTGATTCGCAGGGCGCAGGTGTAAAAAGTTAGAGAATAAACTCTAAACAAGGTCGTTTTAACACTTGTTGTGCATTTTGCAAACCTGCGGATCAAAAAAAAATTAAAATTAATATATTAATATAATGATATGAAAAGCTAGTCATCATGATTAGAAGGAAAGCGTCCACAGCTGGACATAGACCGCTCTAATATACGCCACCCCAAACGTGACGGCTTTCAGCTTAGGGTTTCCTGTTACTTTCATACGTGCGGCGACTCTATTTTGTGATCACCGTGAACAATTCCATTACAATATTTTCTTTTATAATCTAATAACTGTTCGCCGACTAATAACAAACCTCATGTGTCTATGTATTGAACTAGCCAAGCGCTTCTCAATTAACAAAACATTCCTTGAAGTAAAGAAATAAAGACGCTTCTATGGCCAGAACATGCTATTCATCATTTAGTCGGTAACAAAAGATTTGATTTATTTAGCGGAATCCGGGAGAAAAAACCTGCACAGCTTACGTCTTAAGACTTATTAATCAAACAGATCTACTGCAGGAAATTTGTTGCTTCTGCTGCGGATTAAGCCTTCTTTTTACATCACTCGGAATACGTTACGAACAACAAAACATATAACAACAACAGTTTCTCTTCATTTGAAACTGGTTACGAAACGCGGTCACGATGACGGCCTAAAGGAAAGAAAATGACCCGGTGTGTTTATCGGCCGTTTATTTTCATACTTTTGTCCGGAGATTTTCATATGATTATCCAGCCCCTGTGAAGTCATAAAGGGGGTTAAGTTTTGTTGTGCGTACAACCGCGTATGATCCGCACCCTTGGCGTAATAATGCCACTTTAGCAAAATGACAACTTTTCAGGAGAGAGGTTCAATTCCACGAACGAAATTAGTGGACAACTTTTTTATTCTTAAATAGGAGAATTACAAAATTCGTACACAGGGTTGTTTAAAATACAGCAACCCCGCAGGGCTATAAAATAAAAGTCTTCTTAATATATAAAAGTCTTCTTCTTAATGTGCCGCTTCTCTACGAAGGTTGGCAACCACCATTTATTCTGATTTTTGAAGCTGCTGCAAGAAAGAGGGAACGTGTGCTAAGGTGGAACCAATCTCTCAGATTCTTTAACCATGTGGTTTTTCTTCTGCCACGACGACGCTTTCCTTGTATTCTTCCCAGCATTAGAAGTTGAATGCGGTATCTATTGCCTCTCATTACGTGGCCAAAATACTGTAGCTTACTTTCCTTTACGGTTTTGAGTATTTCTAACTTATTTCCCATTCGACGAAGAACCTCAACAGTGGTGACCTTTTGTACCCTCGATACGCCAAAGGCTATCGGCTATCGGCTATCGGCTACTAACATCATAAACTACAACTTTTATTCCATGACTAGTTACGAAAGATAATGAATTTACCAAAAATAAACTTTACTATGACACTTTTAGATGTGTTTTTTTGGACTACAAACTGGACGACAGCGGGCAACGGCGCGATAGCGACAGCGATGCAAGCGGCAGCTTGCGCGATTTGATCAAAATGCCTAAGGGCGCGTTCCCATTATTTAGTGACGGCAGATAGTCCTTCAGTTTAAAGTGTCGTGACTTGTATATTTAAATGAAGTTGTTTACACATAGAACGACATGATTAACTTTTTGACGTTACAACGACAGACTGTCGTGACAATGGGAAGAGCTAGAACGGCAGTCGTCTGACGACAAATAAAACGTCACGATAAAAATGTGACGACAGTCTGTTGTGTGAACGACAAGGCGGCTGCCGTGAACCAATGAATTGTCGTTAATACTAGTGGGAACAGCTAGACACGACAGTCGTTCAACGATAATCGTCCACGACACAGTCACGACAAATAGTCGTGATATGTACACAGGCTAGACGCGACGTTCGTCCAACGGAAAAAAAAATTTTACGACTTAATGGGAACGCATCCTAAGGAGGCCAACAGGTTGACAGCATGTTTGCAGTTAACGCGTGAAGTCGTAATCAACTTCACGCAACACATCATCGAGTGAAATTGATTACGACTTCACGCATTAACTGCAAACATTCAGTTAATCTGTTAGCAGCCTAAGTTTGATTAAGCTGTTCTAGTGGGCAGCGGCGCGGGCGTACATGGCGTATAGTGTCTTCTTGTTGCTTGCCCATACCTATTTTTCGACCAATCAAGTTCGGAGATGTAGATGTCGTAGCAGGAAATAATTTCAGCAGTTTTAGAAAGACCAATATGGCCAACGAACATATTAATAATAATATACCATAAAAATAGAAGGCTTATTTATCAATACATAGAGAATAATAGACTCTTTCATAATTAAAATGTGATTCCATTTCTGGCTTTATATTTGCAAGAATATAGTCAAACGTTCCCACAGTCAGTCTAGAGCAATCATAGAACTTATTTCATTGAAACTCGCCTTTTCGCTTTTTTATTTGTAGTTAATGTTCACGACTTCTTTTACCCAAAATAACTCATACTGAATAAAAGAGTTAGGTACTATAAAAAGGTCACGTCACAATATCGACATCGCACTCACACTCTCGTTACGTCACTTTACCGCCACAAACTAGGCGATCCAGTCGCTGGTGTCGAGAAAAGGCCACGTTTACAGCGCCGCCACCCTCACCGCTGTCGTCACCGCGTCCCCGCTTGCTGGCGTCCAGTTTGTGGCCTAATGTAAGCGTCCTCTCCTACAACCCCCATCCTTGGTCCTGCGTTTTGAATAGAATTATCACCGCTTAGTGCGATCTATTTAAATAGTTTTATTTAATTCATGTACTTCGTAAGGTGATAAGGTCTTTTGACTTACGATTTTTTTTTATAATACTAAGTGACGGGAAGAACAAGTTGTGCGCCCGCTGGTGAGCGACACGCCTGTCCATAGCAGTTGCAGTTTCACTCGGAGCTTTAAATCACAAAGACTTGAGGGGCACTGCCACTCCATCCGACACCCTGAGACGTAAGTTGACGAGTCCCAAATGCCTGTAATTTCACCAGCACACTTGTCCTTCGAAAGCGGAACGCAGTAATGTTCACATCACTGCTTGGCGGCAGAAATAAGTAAGGTGGCAGTACTTTTGTGGACGAGCTCTTTCACAAGGGGCTCTACTACTACTAAATTATTATCATACGAAGATGAATGATTATCATATGTGGCTTTATATCAAGAGAACTACATATACTCCGTCACTAAGCTAAATTATTAGAATCTTCTTGAACACGCGCTTGTCATAATTTACAACCTTTATTGAGATTCCTAGATTGACAATGGTAACTATCAGTATGCAAAGAAAAATTATACTCAACAATGGTTCATGCATTTTGAAATATGTAAACTATTCTAAACCTCTCTCGCTTTGTAAACTGCGCGGACTCGATATACTTCAGATTTTTATAGGAAATAAAAACGATAATGAAAACGTTTTTAGTCAACAAGTCAATATCTTTGTAGACACTTTGTGCCTTTGTAGGTTTGCCCTAAGGCTGCAAACTGGACGACAGCGAGTGGCGTCTGACTTGGACTGGGAGAAGTATACGAGCAGCATTCACTGTGAACGATTCCGAATATTTTGGCGAACAGTGTTGTAAAAAGTTGAGACACAAATTAGTACCGGAACTCATGCGGTCACCCATAGCCCAACGGAAATACCAATAGGCAACGCTCACGAAGATAACTGGCGATTATAGTGATTATGTATATAAATTCAATATAAATAAAATATTCAATGTAAATCATTGAATTTTATCAGTAGATACATTGTATGTGGCTAAGCAGTAGGCGGCAAATGCACAGACAGCACTTGGAAATTACACTGTAAAGCCGGCAGTTGTTTTTTTTTTAAGACCCATGTAGCGAAAAAGGGGGAAATTGATATTCAATTTTTTTGTGAAATTACTCCACTAGCCTGGTATGATTATTAATACAAAGGTCGAACACTCAGAAAAAATGCCTTCGATCGAACGTCTTCTAGCATAACGTGTCAGACATTATACCAACTACGCAAATAAACGTTTTTTTTAATGATTATATTATATGCATTCCACTATTATTCTTCCTATATTGCGATAGTATTTTAGTGAGTTGTTCTGCCTACGAACGTTCCCAAAAAATTCTGTAATATTGGAACCACTTAAAATGTCAGTATGGCCAGTTGTTTCGATAAATGTGTTCTCGATCGTAAAGGTTGTTCTTTTGCAGATGCACTTCTCCACTACAAAGTGTTTCTTTTATTTTCACCAATGTGTATGCAGCCTAAAGGACTTTTGTAGATTATTTGATGCGTTATGTCGGGTACATATAACTTTTGACAAATAAAGTATTCGTTATTTTTACAAGTTTTATGCGTTTTCTGTATCTGTAACGGAAACCTATCACAACCATGGTATGGTAATAGTGTTTCCTATGTCATGATCAAAGCACAAAGAAATTAGCGCATATGCTAAATGCAGATTTTATGACAACCAAATTATGGGACGAACATTTCGTACGACTGTTGATAAGTGGTTCGCGATGCCGAGAGTACGGGATCACCCACTTTAACGGACGAAAAGGGCGACCCCGTCATTCTGGGAATGAGAGTCGGTAAATATTCTTTCAGCCATCTTGTCCAAAAGATCCGCAACAATTTCAGTGCCACTCAGAGTTTTAAAAGTTCTGCGCCCGTCACCTTGAGACATAAATTGACAAGTCCTGTGTCTTACAGTGCCATATGCCCACGTTATTACCACAAACACCATCCATAGAGTATATAACCAGAAATAAGGACGAAAAGTATTCTGCACAAATCATTATGGTGACAACTGCGCTCCGATTGGTCAGCCCGAATTCGAAACAATAGACGGGTGTCGTCAATTGTTTCACTTCAAATCGACCAGTTTAACTTGAGCGTTACTAGAATGGACGACTATTGAAAAACT